TCGCACATGAGTTTTTCAATACAACTGAAAGTAGGTGAAAAAATCCTGTGTTGAAATCGACTACTTACTGGGTTTTAGAGCTGACACGACCAGGCGACCGTGCAATACGAGGAAGGTCATGATCGGTCAAAGAAAACAATGTGCGACAACATGACACACAGCTGAACCGAGTGCAGTCATGACCTCATTGCTGAACCCTGCCGAGCGGCATATATAACAGTGTCGTGATTGCTGTGCAGTATTTTGAACCGTCATGACTTCAGTATACGCGCAGATGGAGGAAACAGAGGAACACCGTTACATGAAGCGGTTCGCCTTTTTCGCGGTGATGGTCAGCACCGTCGCCGTCATGGCGTCAGTGGTTACTCTGCCAATTGTCTACAACTACGTACAAACATTGCAATCCCATGTAGCAGACGAACTAGAATACTGCAAGTCCAGATCGAAGGTTATGTGGATGGAGCTGCTTCAAGTAAGCAGTGCCCCGTCTGTGTTAACTAGGCGTAAGCGAGAGTGGTTGTTTGGACATTGGATAGATGCAAACGCCGGTGAAAGCAGTAACACTGAAAATCTTCACGCATCTGACGAAGAAGATGGGGAGATAGAAGATGAAGAAGAAGAAACATCTGATTATGCTCAGGACGTCCACGAAGAACCGGAAGAGGAAGAATGTAATATTTATTTTGCACTCCTAATGACAACACAAATGTTTTAAGGTTGCCCCTGCTTTAATGGACCAGTAGGGCCTCCCGGTCCTCCAGGAGACAACGGTAGGGACGGAAGAGACGGAAAAAGAGGAAGAAACGGCTCGCCAGGAAATAGCGGCAAAATTTTGTCTGTAGAAGAACATCTTTATGAACCATGTCAAATATGTTTACCTGGAGAACCTGGACCTCCAGGTGCACCAGGACCCAAAGGACCGCCTGGTCCAAAAGGTGCTCCAGGCGCTCCTGGACTTGATGGTAAAAGAGGAAAAACTGGCATGGTTGGCGCTGAGGGTCCAGTGGGTCCACATGGAGATTGTGGTCCCAAAGGTCCAAGAGGCGAGGATGGGAAACTAATTGAGGTTCGTACTCTCGCTTCAAATTAACTATTCAATGCACCATTGTTTGTTTTAGATTGAAGGTCCACCGGGACCACCTGGCCCACCAGGAGAACCCGGGCCAAAGGGCACAAGAGGAAAACCCGGAAAAGATGGAGCCCCAGGAATCAAAGGTCTTCCAGGTGAACGCGGCAATCCAGGGCCAACAGGACCACCAGGAAAACCGGGAATTGTTGGCGTGCGCGGTCCAAAAGGACAGGCTGGACCTCCGGGAAGTTGCGATCACTGCCCAACACCAAAAACGGCTCCTGGTTATTGATAAACATC